CTCTAATTTTATATCCAAATTCGAAAAAAATCGGTTTAGTAGTTTCAGAAAAAATGCGCGGACGGCGGACGGCGGACTAGTAGTGCACATATAAGAGAAAGTGTTGGACGCAATTCAATGAAATTGACACTACATTATTTTTTCACCAAAGTCTACCTTTTATCTAACTTTGAGCCAAATCGAACGAGCCCTTTCTGAAATATTGGCATATCTAAAAATATACGTTTGCGCGTGCGTAAGCGGAAGTGCTGGGTGGAATTTGATAAAATTGATATGGGACCATCTAGGCACCGATCAGCATAATCCCTGAAAATTTCATGAAGATTGGATGAACGGTACTAGGTGATATGCCCGTCACATCGATTTGACTACAGACAGACAGACAGACAGACTGACAGACAGACAGACAGACAGACAGACACCGAACCAAATTTGATCCTTGATGTCTGAAACGTAAAACGCGAGTGAAAATTTTCGATTCTGAGCAAAAAATTTTTTTTAATTTCTCGCACGAACACAATGCTTCCCTACCTTCGGTAGTGAGGAAGCAAAATATTTTAAAATCGCGATATCTCTACTATTAGTGCTTCGATTTCGCTGAAACTTTCTTCATTTTTTAGGAAATTTTAATACCTTTGAAACATCTTATCGCAATATTGACATAAATGTGTATACTTCTTGAGTTATTCGGAATTTAATTTTACCATCCCTCGTAACTTTTTTTGAGCTTCTTTTCGTTCAAGTATGTAGTAGAGATAAATTTAGAGGGCGTAGAGAAAATGACTTTAGCGAAGTTTCATCAAAATCGGTTCATTCGTTTAGGCGCTACAGTCTATAGCAACGCAGGTTTTTCGGCCGCCATTTTGAAACTAGAAGGCGAATAGTAATGTCGTTGAAGGAGGATGATTCTCGGGTGACTTCTAATTTTATATCCAAATTCGAAAAAAATCGGTCAAGTAGTTTCAGAAAAAATGCGCGGACGGCGGACGGCGGACTAGTAGTGCACATATAAGAGAAAGTGTTGGACGCAATTCAATGAAATTGACACTACATTATTTTTTCACCAAAGTCTACCTTTTATCTAACTTTTTATTAAAAATATACGTTTGCGCGTGCGTAAGCGGAAGTGCTGGGTGGAATTTGATAAAATTGATATGGGACCATCTAGGCACCGATCAGCATAATCCCTGAAATTTTCATGAAGATTGGATGAACGGTACTAGGTGATATGCCCGTCACATCGATTTGACTACAGACAGACAGACAGACAGACAGACAGACAGACAGACAGACAGACAGACAGACAGACCGACAGACAGACAGACACCGAACCAAATTTGATCCTTGATGTCTGAAACGTAAAACGCGAGTGAAAATTTTCGATTCTGAGCAAAAAAAATTTTTTAATTTCTCGCACGAACACAATGCTTCCCTACCTTCGGTAGTGAGGAAGCAATAATGCTTAAGTAATACTAGTTATATTTCTTGAAAAAATAAATAAATAAACCGGTTTCGGAGCTTAACTTATTTTCACACCACGTTTTTTAATATTTAAGTTTGTTCTTGCAAAAAAATAAAAAATTGATTCAGTGGGTGTTTTTGCATGGAAATCATATAGTCATGAAAATGTCCATAAAAATCCATTAGGATTCATTTTAGAAATAAGCGATTCATTGATGAGTGAAGGTAAAAAGTTTCTAATCCGAAAATTTCCTCAGCAGTTTTAGTAACCTCAATGCCAATTATTCTCTCATGTACATCAATTTCAGCCTTCAGGCACAGTTGAAGAATAGCAGAAAGCGCGAACTTAAGAAGAAGTTCCATATGGCATCTTATAAACAAAACAAAATATAAATATAAACAAAATTATACTATAACTATATGGATTGATAACAGTAGTTAACTCCAGGTATTCTACAAGGGTGTGACTACAATAATGAAACTGCAAAAGTAAATTTTCAATATACCCAGAAATATTAGAGAGGATGAAGGAAATTTGGGGGCTGGAAAAGGAAGTTAACAATTCATATTGTTATCCTTTATTATTGATATGAGGTTTATGAGAAAAGGGTCTTTTGCCGAAATCTGTTATTGTTCTTTTAGTCTTGATAAAGGGTCTTATCAATCTTTTAAGATAACTAGTCCTAAACTATCAGAGATAGCCTCGCCCTTTGGTTTATGAGAATTGACAATACATTATTCACCAATTGGCACATTTAATAAGCTCAATTATCTAAATTTAGGATCTTATTAATATAATTTTTATTTTTTTTTTATAGATTTAGTCTATCTTGGTTATGTCCAAGTAAATGAGGACATAACCAAGATAGAAGATTGGAAACAGTTTCACGATCTAAAACACGGGAAACACTAAGAAGTCAGTTTGTATGTGTGGCAAAACCATAGAAGCAAAACCGTAGAAGCAACCAATCTATGTGATAACTGACTGGCTGCGAAAACGGCAGTGAGTAAATGAACTTGAGCACGGGCCCTATCGGGTGGTCCCTCCTAAGATTCAGGAGGATCAAGTTGCTGGCCAAGAAATTGTGGTCGACAGTACCGAGAACGTACACGAATGTGGAAATCCTCTCATGCTTTAAACAATCCTCAAAACAGACCAGTATGGAAATCGCAGTGATGCGAGTAATGGCCAATATGTCTGTGGGAGCTTTCCACCAATAAAAAGAATCTTCGGTGCAGTGAGGCTTGCCCAACCACCGCAGCTCTCTAAATCCATAGAAGAGTGATCATTCTGCTCCATAACTGTGGCACTGAGTTGGCGATGAGGAACAGCTCAATTGAAACAACAAAATGAAGTAAACACCATTATGATATAATCAATTACGAATGTTAAAATATTCAAAACCTCCTTCCACTCACACGTAGCCAATAACCATTAAAATGTTCCCGGAAATTGACATATAGTTGTATATCAGTAGTGTTAATTTTGTCGTTTTTTTAATTTATTTTAATGTGGATACCGCTACTTTTAATGCAAAAGGTTGCATATAGAAATTTTACATGTTTAATCTCTTTGCTCTAAAGGTGACATTTCGTAGTCTGCAACTGCTATAAGTAGTCTGCTAAATAAGGAAATTGTGTAGGGAAATTAAATATGAAATCGTATTTATAAATCAGAAAGAAATATTCGGCTTTTACGCTCTTCTGTAAAAAAACTCAGTTTCATATTCATTACTTAGTAGTAATAGGAAAGTAAAAATATAAGAACATATATTTATATCTTAAAAATAATTTTAAAAACATTCACCAGCTTTCCTATCTTGTTTATACATAGATTAATTCTTAAAGGCTCCTACAAACAGATGTGATATGTCTCGGCGATACCACAGAGCTTAGTAACTATCTGGAAAATTCTTTTAAGAAATCAGTAAAAAAAAAAAAAAAAAAAAAAAAGCGGGATAAAAATCCTATCTATACATTGATAAATTAATATCTAATGTAATTTATTCTGTTCCGCAATGGAACTGGATGAAAATTATAGAAACAGATAAACCGAAAGAATTGAGAAAGAACAGATTCGAGAGTAACGCAAATAAATTTTATGTCTAAATATTGATACTGGGATATTGTTTTCAATTCACTATCGTGTATTTTGTTTTACCTTCCAGATAGTGTTGCCTAAGTGCAAGACCGAGACGAGTCTTGGTCTTGCAAACTCAATCTTGGTCCAGGTCTTGGCCTTGCTCAAGACACTCGTAACAGTCTTTCAGTTAACTATTAGCCTATTACTAGAGAGATATTACTGTATTTTTTTAGATAGGAGAAACCTAACTAAGTCTGAATAAAAAATTAGAAGAGTTAAATGCAAAAGTATATTGGTTACACCAATTCTTTATATATAGTAACTAAAATTGTCAAGTATTATTAACTATTTTGCCTCAATTTTTTTGCCTCAATTTGCCAAATTTTTAATCAAAAAATCGATTTTTTTTACCAGCCTTGGTCTTGGCCTTGCAACAGATAGGCGATGTTTTGGACAACACTACTTCCAGAGGTGCCCAGAAGGGGATTTTACGGCGCAAGTTGCGCCATCAAAATTTTGGAGGATGTCACATATTGACGGGGTTCTGAATTTTTGAGGAGGCTACATTTTGACTGGTTTATGATTTTTCCAAATAAAAATTTTCAAAGCAGAGGACAAGAGGAAAACCTAGAACAGACGGCTGTAGGTGTAATTGTAATTGTAAATATGACCTATGATTTTAAAAATTCTTCTTCAGCGTGCACATATTTTAAAAAGAGGGGATTTGAAAAATATCTTGGGAGGAGGGGGAAGGTTTATGTGCCAGTGACCTTGGGGAGGTTGAACACCCCTGTTACCTTCATTTATTTGTAGGCTTTAAAGCACTGTGTTTCTTTTATAACATTTTTTTTTAATCTATATATATGTCCTCCTTATAGTAATATAGGTAATATATATCTATAATTGATTCGGTAACTAACCAAAAAAATATATTTTTACAACGTATTACATATAAAATATAATTTATTTATTGATAAAAATAAATAAATATAATAATTATGTTTTTTGTTAACAAGATGGTTTTATTGTATATTAATTCAGAAGGCCTGACATGTTATAAAACATTCAGTTTATCAGATATTTTTCATAAATTAGAAGTTTCCTGGAGTTTTTCCTGTTTTCATGCCTTTTCCGACCACTATGCGACATATTATTTTGATATAAAAAATTATATTTTTTTTTTAAATTTAAACTAAGAGTAAATTGTAATTTACTCGGTTTTTTTAATATAGAATAAGCATATCAATAGAACTATATCTATAGAAGGATCTTCTAGGCAGAACTAAAATTGGAATATTATTCCCAAATCAGGTCAAATATACCATCTTCAATTTTATTGTTTAATTATTCATTTCATTTTCAGTTAAATTATACAATCTCTCCATCGCATGCAGTAATTCTTAAGTTTAATGTTAATTCCAATAACAAAAGGTAACATGAGCAATAAAAGGAAAAATTCTTAACGAAATTATGTATTTAATTGTATAAATAAAAACATATTAAAAAAACAGAATATCTATATATATTTTTTTTTTGTTTTTATCAATTAATATTATATTACAGTTTATGGGACAGAGAATGATGTTTTATATGAAGAGCTCTCTTTTCTTCGATATTGCTTCTTATCTGGAACTGGATGATAATAAAAAGGTAACTGGCTATTGTTGCTAATATCTGGAAAAACAAAAAGAGACAATTTTTAATTCAGAAATAGAAAATTGTATTTAAATAAATGTCTCAATAAAGATCGTATTACCGAACGGAACAAAGAATGATCTAATCCAAAAAATCCATGAGCTGAAAAACTGAGAGATATTCGTTGTTCTAAGAAAGATGTTATAGATTCCTGAAATGAAAAACAAAAGTTTATCACAATTTAAATGGTTAAATGTAGCAATTAATAGTAGATATAATTAAGCAATGTAAGCCATAGCTCGCAAAGAAATCTATAAGTATTACAAATAAATATAACAAACAAAAGTAGATATGTTGCAAATTTATTAAATATCAAAGCTAGGAACTCTGTTGCCAAATAATTAGTGAGATCATGTATAAAGCTCAGGTGTCGAGGTGAACAAAACTGTTCACATCCAAATAATTTTAAAACCTAAAAATTGAGAATTTTAACATTTTTAATCTATTTCCTACAGAAAAACAAAATGCGGTACTCCATGAAATTTTATTCGAAGGGATACCATAATTTAAAATCAACTAAAACATCATTTAGGTTAAGGAATTGGGATTTTATCAATAATATTTCCAAATCGAATACCAAAATAAATTATCGTTGTCAAGTGCCAATATTCACAACGGATAAATGAATCTCAAAATATTTCTATACCATATAAATATATTTATCGATTATTTAAAAGTAACTGACAAGGTTAACATTTGACTTGTTGGCATAGTTAGCAAATTTTAAGCCATCCAAAAAAAATTTTCATCCTATTGGTACAAATTTTCTCCGAACTGAACACTAACGGTTCCAGGACTTAATTTTGGGAGGCTACAGACCGAATGATTTTTTTTTATAAATATATTAGGATAATGATTTCGGAAGAAAGAAAGAAACTAACTACCTATATGAAATGCTCTTTAAGTGATTGTTGAAATCCTATTAACTGTAATTAGACGAACAATAATACTTTTAAAGATAATTTTTTTCATAAAACATGGTTATATTTTACCATTTTTGGGGGGAGGGGGAAAGGCTTCAGCCCGAAGCCCCTCCTTAAATCCGCCCGTGGTACAGAACAAGAGCGAAGTCAGATCAAAACAGAAGTTGGGATCTAACATCTCAACTTATTACACGGTGGGCCAGACCCCCTAACCGTGCACCCCTCCCCCCTCCCCACATCCCTATAAATTGCATATCGTTGTGTTCCTTGTGACAATTTATTAAAAAAAAGCCAATGTTCCCACAAAAAAAAGTGAACGAACTTTCCCAAAATGGCGTCCAAATATGGCGGATTGATGACTTTGACTTTAGTTAGTTTTTTTGTTACTGAGAATCAGCATTAGGCTTAATTTCATCATAGTCAGAGAATAATAAAACATGAAAAAATATTAAAAACTAATTGGCTTAGGCATTAAAAAAAATCGGTAAAGTCAATTTTTTTACAAAAAAATTTTCAAGTTGAAAATCAGGCATCGTTTGTAATTAAACGGTCAACAATAATGCAAAACGTGCTGAAATAAAATATCTGGAGAATACATTCCTCTTTCTAAAACACTGATTACTTTTTAAAATATTTAAAGTAGTTCCGTAGAAAATGTACTTAAGCGGCAGAAAAGCGCTACTGGCGTAGGTGCCTTCAGGCCTCTATCATACCACTCAGTACTCATAAATGGCTTAGTTATAGTGCTATAATAACGTTTTTGTTATATTATATTGATTATATTAACGAAAAAATATTAATACAATAATTTAATTGTAAAAAAAAAATTTTTTTTTAATTTATTTATTTTTTTAATTTATTATCATTAATTTTTTTAAATTTAACTTCCTTTATTCTATACGGAGGTCGCTTAAGAAGGCCTCTATTATAAAATTATATAATTATAATAATAAAACTTAATTCAAAAATACTTTGCAGAATATCTTGAATTTTTTATTTAATATTTGCAATTTATAATAATATAATTATATATAATTAAATTATAATTATATAATTTAATATATAATTTTATTCGGAAGTTGGACCATATCAAACAAATATGAACTTTTAATATTAAATGCATTATTCCCTCTGCAAAAAGGAAATATGGAAAAGGCGAAACTCTAAGTTCTTCTAGGTAACTGGAACTGATTGTTAGTATTTGGTCTCAAAATGAGGGAAAACGCGAAATTGAACACAAACATTGGAAAAATACATTAAGCGAACGACAAAGGAAGTGCCAAAATTTCGGAAAAGAAAACAAGGATCACCATCCGTTATATGGCCAAACGAATATATAGTAGACAAATGAACAGAATATTTCAAGATGCTGCTAAAAGGGGGTCAAAATGCTTGATCAGTTTGGATGATATTAAGCAGGTTTATTATGGTGAAGACCATTTCATCAGCAAGAAAGACTTGTTCTAAGCAATTGGCAAGCAGGTCTGGAGGAAGTAAACGAGGTTTATAATGGTGAATACCACTTTATTTTAGATTGCTATTGAAGTTGCACATTGGGACTATCTTCACTTTGAAGCAGGCCATAAAGAGGTCTATCGATAAAGGAAAATAGCTCTCCTCCTGTTTAGTACAATTGCAAAAGATTTTTGAACGAATCTGAAAGGAAAACGAGCATTTGTGAAAGACTAGTAGATATTAGATCAATCCAAAGTGTGAGGCACTAAGCAGATAGAGAATCATTTTTCTTTCTCTGTGGACTTCTCTATAACCTACCTTAAAGTGAAGACAGTCCCAATTTGCAACTTGAGTGATTCTTGAGTAGACTTTCTTTGGTACTATAAACAGTAAGTAATCTCGAATAACATTTCCTAGTATCTCATTTCCTGTAAAGGAACAAAACTACAGTCCTTCCATATCATTTTCTAATACATTTGTAGAGTTTGTACGTACAGCATATCGGGTTACTTCCTCCAGACCTGCTTGCCAATTGCTTAGAACAAATCTTTCTTGCTGATGAAATGGTCTTCACCATAATAAACCTGCTTAATATCATCCAAACTGATCAAGCATTTTGACCCCCTTTTAGCAGCATCTTGAAATATTCTGTTCATTTGTCTACTATATATTCGTTTGACCATATAACGGATGCTGATCCTTGTTTTCTTTTCCGAAATTTTGGCACTTCCTTTGTCGTTCGCTTAATGTATTTTTCCAATGTTTGTGTTCAATTTCGCGTTTTCCCTCATTTTGAGACCAAATACTAACAATCAGTTCCAGTTACCTAGAAGAACTTAGAGTTTCGCCCTTTCCATATTTCCTTTGTGCAGAGGGAATAATGCATTTAATATTAAAAGTTCATATTTTTTTTATATGGTCCAACTTCCGAATAAAATTAAGGAAATAAAAATCATTTCTTTAATAGCGATATATGAATTTTACTAAACAATCCATCACCTATTCATTAAAAGTAGTTCTGATTAGGTATCTATCATTTTAGTTTATAAAACAGATATTAATATGACTCATTTCCGGGGAAGAATATACAATTTAAATTACCTCTAAGAATCAGTAAATATAGAAAACAAAATGTTAAATTGCAAATATTAAATAAAAAATTCAAGATATTCTGCAAAGTATTTTTGAATTAAGTTTTATTATTATAATTATATAATTTTTATAATAGAGGCCTTCTTAAGCGACCTCCGTATAGAATAAAGGAAGTTAAATTTAAAAAAATTAATGATAATAAATAAAAAAAATAATAAATTAAAAAAAAATTTTTTTTGACAATTAAATTATTGTATTAATATTTTTTCGTTAATATAATCAATATAATATAACAAAAACGTTATTATAGCACTATAACTAAGCCATTTATGAGTACTGAGTGGTGTGGTAGAGGCCTGAAGGCACCTACGCCAGTAGCGCTTTTCTGCCGCTTAAGTACATTTTCTGCGGAACTACTTTAAATATTTTAAAAAGTAATCAGTGTTTTAGAAAGAGGAATGTATTCTCCAGATGTTTTATTTCAGCACGTTTTGCATTATTGTTGACCGTTTAATTACAAACGACGCCTGATTTTCAACTTGAAATTTTTTTGTAAAAAAATTGACTTTACCGATTTTTTTTAATGCCTAAGCCAATTAGTTTTTAATATTTTTTCATGTTTTATTATTCTCTGACTATCTAGGTTTAATAAAAGACCAACTATGATGAAATTAAGCCAAATGCTGATTCTCAGTAACTAAAAAACTAACTAAAGTCAAAGTCGTCAATCCGCCATGTTTAGACGCCATTTTGGGGCAGTTCGTTCACTTTTTTTTGTGGGAACATTGGTTTTTTTTAATAAATTGTCACAAGGAACACAACGATATGCAATTTATAGGGATGTAGGGGAGAGAGGGGGGTCTGGCCCACAGACTATATCCCCAACCTGACACTAGTCATCTGTATCAATATGAAATATCTACTAAATATAATGAAAGGTGAGTACTAGCAACGCAGTTCTTTTAAACCTATTTTTGGTGCATGATGCATTTTTTCCGGTCTTCTTGTTTGGAGTTTAATAAATTCTAACGACAACTTATACAAAGCCAAAAATGTTTTAGTAAAATAAATTCTGAAAATTATAAATTATACAAAGGATTAATAAAATATAAGAGATATTGCAATATAGATGTTACTCACGTTCTCAATTAGAGAATCGGATTCGTCGTTAATACATAAAGTGTAAAAATCTCCGTTGACCAGTTTAACCTGTAACGATAATATTTAAAAAAAAACTATCTTCGTTAATTTATTTTACTAATTCAATGATTGTAAAATAAAGTACAATCTATAATGGATAAACAAATTATTGTTTTTTATTTTACTCAAACTTTATTAATCAGAAATATCTTAAATACAATTGTTACTCAGCTAACTACTAATAAGTAGAAGAAATATGTGTAACTTGGGTTACTTCTTTTCAATGCTCCATAGCTTCTAAAATAACAATGATTTTTAAAAGTTCAAATTAGAATTTTATTTGCCATCCTTTAAAGATACTATGTTAATTTTTAAATTATTTAATCATCAGATTTGACGGTGAAAAAAAAAATCATTTTTAAAAACAATAAATGACCCAAGGTATACAAGGTACACAAGGTAACTATAGTTGTACCTTGAGCAACTATTTATAACTTGGGCAACGAATGGTATCTTGGGCAAAATTTGTTGTAATAGTAATTATAATGTGGTAGCGTTATTATTCGTTACTTATTCAATAATAAGTGTCACTTATCTACACTGTTAAGCAAACTTTTTCATGTCATCCATTGAAAGCCCATAATATATCACGCCTGCAGTCAGTAAATAATCTTTTATAAACGCCTTTAGTAGAAACCATGAATCGAGGATTTATTCTCAAAAGAGTCATATTTTTAAATTATATTAATGTACCTTGGGCCGGTCCAAATTATAAAACAGTGACCCAAGGTACTACGACATGACTTTATTTTTTTAAATTTAACTTTTTAGAATGTCCTAAAGTATTTTGCTTAGAATTGGCCATCAAAAGAAGCTAGAGAGATTACGACAGATCAATCGACTAATAATTTTGAATATGTCTAAGAACTTTTTTGATAATAAATTATGATATCAAGTAATGAAAAAATACTTTTCCAACTTCAAAACACCCTTATCAATATTATCAGAAACAGAGCGGATGAGAGATACCAAAATCAGCTACATAGGGTCCTGGCAGTGCAGCCTACTCAATTTTCGAACGAATCCTGAAATTCTCCGCGAGAAATTTCTTAGGGTGGCTCAAGGTACATTGTGGTCCAGGGTACACGTATTTCCCCTAAATGAATGTTATTATTTAAATACGATTTAGTTTAAAATATTTTTACAGTTGAAAAGCAGTTTGAGTATACTATCTACTTTTGAGCAATGAGAAGATCCCATAAATAAAAGATAAAAATATATACGATTATTTGAAGGACAGATACCATTTCTAAAATGATATAGCACCTATTTAGAAAATTGTAATAACCTAGATCATGCAAACTATTAAGAACCTTTTCTTTGATAATCCAAGCAGAATGAATGATGCACCATATCACATATATTTCATTTGCTGCACCTATCATGGCTGGATACGCCTCAATTACAGAATTAACACCCTTGAACAAGTGGAAAAAAACACAAGCCGAATGGTACACGCTTGCTGTAGCGCCGAACAATTTGGACGCGACTATAACTAATAATGGCCACGAGTAAATCTGCTTCAATCTAGTACAATGGGTTATCAATTGTCTGTGAACATTGAAGAGCTCGTCGAATTGAGAAATCGATTCGAAAGGTTCTCTCTTCCCGAGACATCTTAATGATAGTGATATATTCGACAATCGGTCGCCGATCATCAACAACGGAATGATAAATTGTGCCAGGAACAAATAGATGAGAACATCACTGAGGTAGAAGACTGGAAACAGCTTCACGACCTTGAACATGGGAAACACGAATATGTCGGTTAGTAAGTTCGCCAAAACAAAGCAGAACCCTATGAGCAGCCAACCTATGTGATTACTGGCCGGCTGCGAAAACGGCAGTGAGTAAATGGACTTGAGCACAGGCCCAAGCGGGTGGTCCCTCCTAAGGTTGAGGAGGATCAAGTTGCTGGCCAAGAAATTGTTGCCGATGATACTGAGAACGGATAAAAACGTGGAGATCCGCTCATGCTTTGTTCGATCCTCAATACAGACCAGAATTGAAAGAGCAGTGATGACGGATATGATCAATATGTCAATTACGGCTTTCCACCAAGGCAAAGAGTCCTCAGTGCAGTAGGGCTTGCCGAGCCATCGCATTCCTCGGAAACCGTAAAATAGTGACTTCTCCGAGACCATTGGGAACAACTGTGTCACAATGGCAGTAGAGAGGATAAGGTCAATTGTGACAACAGCACAACGTAAACACCATTACGATATAATCAATAACAAATATTCAATCCCTCTAGAGATGGCCACCCTCCACCCCCACAAGGTCGATGGCGCATGAACTTCCCACTTTCTCTCTCCAAAACATTTTATTTTTCTCCACTTCCCAAAAACACTAGAAATAAAAATAGATACCGTAAATCATATACAATTGTACTAGTTGCGGTTTCCATGTATTCGTTTGTTCCATGTATTCGCTTTGACTTCTGATTTATTTTTTTTTCAATTTGAAAATTCATAACACCGTCGAAATGTAACCCCCTTAAAAATTGAAAATCCCTTCAAAATGTGCGTCCCTCAAAAATTTTGATGACGCAACTTGTGCCCTTCTGGGCACCCCTGAATTCTTTCACGCAAATATAGTCAATAAATATTAAGGAATTGTATTTATGAGTATTTAATTAATATATCTGCTGTAAAATTACTTTTAAAAAAACGTTTATTCTAAAAACATACATTTGACTTATGTATAATTTTTATTTATTTTTTTATAACCTAGTATATAATTAGAAGACGGAATATATATATATATATATATTAATGTGAATCCATCATTAGATATTTGCTCATGTTGCACACAAACTAATCCCTTCGGTTCAATGTATTCGTACAATGTAAGTATTTTCCGTGATACATTAGCAGGAAGACAAAACTAAAGATATTGTAATTTTCTTTCACCAATATTATCACAGTTCTATGATAAGTCTGAATAGGGAATGTGGTGTAAGGAAAATGTAAGCGGTTATTTCAGGGTTATTCATTTTTTGTGTAAATATATCATTATTAGTAGTAATAAACAGTATATTATCCCTAAGACAGATTGTTGATTGCAGTAACCGACAAGGTACGAGATTATGGCATATAAAGTTATTTCGTAGCAGAGGCTGGAGCTCGAATTTCCGTGATTATTTTTTATATAGTTCGTGAATTTTAGTGTGGACATAGTACCCGATAGCGAAAAGAAAATCGGAAATACTGAATACACGGTTTAAAAAAAAAATAAAAAAGTAAAATATATATAGCTAATCTTGGAGATATTATTCTCATTTTATAATCTCTACGTGATAGACTAATATTGTACGAAGACCGAAATAAAGTTAAAAATTATATAAAGTTCACTTTGTTAGTTATAACTTGTACCTTTGGCTGGAAATAGTAAAAAAATAGATTATCATATAACCGTGAAAGCAGACATAATTTTTAAATTCCTTAGGGGTACGTCAACCTAAAAGAATTTTAAAATGGATAGTATTGTTCTTCACTGAAAATGTTTTCCAAATGCAAATATGTTTAGGCAACAGTTTGAGTCTACTAGGTCAACTGTTAGAATAAGTACATGTTTTAACAAAGATTTCCAAAAAATAGGTTTATAAGAAATAACCGAAACAGTGACGAAATAAATATATATTCGTTTTTGTAAATAGAAATATTTATAACCAATTATTTAGGAATACTTGCCAGGTAATGTAGTGGTTGTATTATACAGGGGTTGATTCCAATCCCGTTGTATTAATTAATATCAATCAATCAAACGAATAAAAATTATACTCGACTTTAAATAAACTCAATATGATTTTTCAAAAATATTTCAATTAAATCAATTATTGCTTCCTCTCTACTGAATGTATGGAAGCTTTGTATTCGTACGGGAGGTGTAAATAATTTTGTACACAGAATCGAAAATTTCCACTGGCGTTATACGTTTCTGACATCAAGGAACAACCCAACTGTTTGTAGACAAATCCATGTGATGGGTACATCGCCAACTATCGTTTATCCAATTATCATGAAATTTTGCAGTTTAGTGCCTCAAAGGTCTCTTATTAATTTCATCAAATTCCATTCAATACTTTGGCTTTGGTACACGTGAATATTTTTTTTAGATACGTCAATATTTCAGAAACGGCTTGTTCGATTTAGCACAAAGTTGGTCGTTGTTAAATAAATTATGCTGTTTTAATTTTATTGACTTGCATCAACTGCTTTCTCTTATAAATGTGAAAACATATTTTCCTTCATAGACCTATATCTAAAAAATAGCTCTTTCTATTGGGCCTGACTTTGAAGGGATGTTAGGATTGATAAATAAATGATTAAGTAGGTATCAATTAAATCGAATTCTATCAATACTTTTAAAAAATAATTCCATTTTCTAATCTCAAATTTGGTGAATAGTGTACAAATTGCCAAGACTCGATCAAATTGCATTACATTTTACAATTAAAATTATTATAACTGAAAACCAGTAAATTGGCTGTGAAATGTGGTAAGCTGAGAACATAAGAAAATAGAGGTTATAAAGTTTTAGACTGTATTAAAAGGTATAATTTAAACTATATTCGGTTGTTGGTCCCATGTAACTTGCAGACACTGAATTCCGTTAGTTAGACATCATGTAATAGTTGAAGATGGTAAGGATTGAAAGCTGGATAGTCCAGTATAAATTACACCGAATACCATTTACATCTTTCACAAATGCGTGGATTTTTCATTGACTGACTGTATGTATTTTAATCCCTTAACATTTTCCTTTTTTTTTTTTTTTTTTATTTATTTCTTTTTTTTTTTATTTAGACATATAACAATCTGTCTCGTGGACAATAATTATAATGATATATGAACACATTCATACCATATTTGGAGAATCTTAATATTAGGCACGATTATTTTCCATAAAAATCACCCGAACAAATATTATTTGTCTTTCTTTTTGAACAAATTTTATGAAGGCCGAAAAAGACGTGAATGCAGATTTTGTTTTTTAAACGTATATATTTTACTATTTAGAATTACTGCTCGTATCAATTTAGTTAACATATGTATGTGTGTAAATTTAAATAATTTTTTAAAGACAGATTATAAAAAACAAACTTCTATTTGTAATTGTTTCTTTTGAATTTCAATCATCTCGTGGTCACCATTTCTCTCTTAGACTTCAAAGTATTAAGTCTTCTTATTATACAGATTTTTGAACTAATTATTGTTGAAGGGTAAGGACGTAGGCAATAATAAATCATAAGTATGTAAAGTCACCTTCGTGTCATAAAAATTGTTAAATTCACTTATATTTTTATATTCCACCTAAATAAGTTTTGTTTTGACTGATGGAAAATGTCGGTTTAGTTAACACCAAACCAAAAATTTAATTTTTTCAATGGATTTTTATTCCTTCCATTTTGTAAGTGAAAAATACCTATTAAATGCATAAGCGTGTTCAGTATTCAAATACATACTGGGGATTGGGAATTGTTTAAGTTATTATTTTTTTTTTGTAATCCTGAAAAGTCACAGTTCCTTCCTTTGAGTGGGGCAACCATCCCGGGGCGCCTTTCATCAGGGACGCTCGTTACATGTTAGAAATAAAAAAGAATACAAACCGTATTAAAATAAATAATTCTATCCTACTAATAAAGCAACTGTATTAGAGAAATATTGAATGAAATAAAATTCAAATACTGCATAATACAAAATAGTTTAAGGAATAAATTAATTTTTTTTAGAGGGGAGAGAATGACGAAATTGCCCGGGGGCACAGTGTGTCTAAGGGGCACTGAATAGACAAATAAACATTTAGCAAATGTGGAACTCCAGTATTTCGAAAACGGCTTATGCTGAATTTTTATTCTCAAACAAAAAATTTTAGAGGTAATGTAGATATTACATTATAGAATTATAATGGAAATATAGGTAATTGTATAAACAACGAAAACGGCGAGGAAGCTATACTGACCTTACTTGGTAGACATTTTTACAATGACTTTTAACTATAAACAAAATCCTAATTAGATAAGAACAGCTTTACTTATTTATACTTCCTCCAAACTGAGTCCAAATGACCAAGTCTCGCAAAATGGTCTGTGTGTCTGTATGTGAACAGTCTAGCTCTAAAACAGAACGTCTTACGTAACTGAAATGGTTATTTAAGGTTTGTATATAACTGGGATGTTACAGCAACTTTTTCGTCAAAAACGGCAAACCATAAGTAGTACTTTATATCATATATATAAAACATTTTAACCATTTTATCGAAAACGGCTCTAATAATTTTGATTAAACTCAATAAGTCAGTGTATCATTAAATGGTACTTGAATTGAGGTAGATCTTAGTGCCATTGATGTTTTCTGGCAGGGCTTAAATGGCTAATTTTCAAAATTTCTACCTCAAAAGCACTTTTAATTTTGTTTATTTTAAATAATTAACTGTTTCTCGTACTTAGTAGTAATAAAAAAATGGTCAATATAAACCATAAATGAATTTGATAATTGAGTAAACGAGAAAAGATGAACATTTTTTTTTAGGTTGAAAATAAATTTTGGGAAATAACTGGCAGAACATCCAGAAAAAAGGTGGTCTTCAAAAATATTGATCCATTTGGCGCGACCTACACTCTCAAATTTTCAAAATAACGAGGTCATATAGGCCAAATGGCTCAATATTTTTGAAGGCCACCTTTTTTCTCAATTTTGTGCTCAAGTTATCTTACGATTAAAATGGAAAACAAATGGGTATTTACGGGTTTCCAGTACACAATTAAATAAACAAAGTTTAATGACCTCCAGATTGTAAACGCCTCAATTCGTAGGTAAATAAAATATTTGTAGGTTACGATGAGATGAAGCTATTTACAAAGTTTCTAGCAGATGTTAATAATTTGATAAAAAGGGGTTAGTACCAGGGAATATCTCGCAAAGCTGAGAAAATAAAAAAAATAATAAATTATAAATAATAATAATTTCTGGAAATATTATTTAACGGAAACAAAATGTTGTTTTGGAAAGTGGATGAAGTTTTCGAACTAAATGTAAATTAAAAAAAAAAATTTTTAAGTTTTAAATAAAATTATGTATAATCCATAGAATCGAATCAATCA